TGGACACAGAAACATAAGTCAAATTTCCAGAGAATTATGAGTTTGTTACAGAAGAATGAGAACTAAGAAAGGTTCTGACGACGGCTTAATAGAGGAGCCGTATTTATACTTTGACATATTAGGTTTCCATCTTCTTAATTAGTTAAATAAATTACGAATTAATGGCATAATCAATAGTTTCCAAAACTGACGAGATTTGTCAATCTTACCATAACTACCCACTATAATTCGGATTTTCCACAATTAAACTAATTCAAATTTCCGAAGACCTTTTGGGGCGCTGCCCCTTGACCTCGCCCACCGCCAAGGGCTATACCCCTTAGACCCCGCAAGGGGGCACGACCCCCTTGACTCCCACCATTCTATAGTACATGCTTATAATTCGATCTTATATATGCATGCACTCCGCATTCACCGAACATATAATATAGAATACAAATAATAAGTCTCTTAGCTTATATATTATTCTAATTACACAGAATGTTTGGTGATACAAAAACCACCAACACTAATCATTCTAAAAAAATATTTTAAAGAAAAAGACCACTTTTTTATTTTTAAAATATAAAATATACTTGTTCTTTTATTTTTGGAGTTTTTTTTTTTTTTTTTGTAATCTTTTTCAAAGAAAGTCTTTTATTTATGGCTGTCCATTTTAAATTGTTTAATATTATCGTTTTTCAATCAAATGTTTGATTTTAGCATAGGATCGTATATAGTTCATACTTTAATTTTTTGTTAGATTTTAATTTTAGTAAATAATGATTTGTTTACGAAATTTCGAAATTATTCCTCGAATTTCAGACTTACTTTTAACATTTTAAAATTTTAGAGTTTTTTTTTCTACTCTATTATCCGAAATATTAGTACGAAATATACTCTTTTATCGATCCTTACCAATTTTGAATTTGATAGTTGTTTTGCTAATAAATATTTTTTTTAGTTATTTTCTGGGTCAGCTTACTCGATTTTTCATATATGTATTATTATTATTATTTTTATTAAATAATAAGAACTTATGTTAATCAAGCTCGATTAGGCCCGCGATTTCTTCAATGAGAGGAATCGAAGATAGCTTCACCATACTCACATCAAATCCTCAATCGACTTTCTTCTCTACGTTCCCTTCTACCTGGTGACTGTGCAAGCGGCCGTTTCTTTGCAATTTTTGTGCTGTTTCCCTCCGAAGAACATCCGTTACAGCAATCCCAGTTTACGACAACAAGAAATTAGGGTTCATATCCCATTTGAAAACAAGGTTCGTTTCTATAATTTCACATTTCCATTTGATTTAGGGTTTCTTCTTTTAGTTCACAGTTCCGAACTTTCTGATGGAATTACCAGGAATAAAATGTCATTGAGAAAGAATTACAGACTAGGGTTAGTAAAACTTACGAGTTCATTAGGTAGAGAAAAAGGACTGATTTTGAACGAAATTGATATCGATTCTATAGATGCCTTTTTGCCCACATACATGTCAAAGAAAAACTAGGCAACAGACTATCAATTTGATTAAGGCAGTTCATATCTATCAAAGAAAAACTAACAATATATAGATTTGATTGTGTTTCTTTAAAAGTTAGGGTTTATGTATAGGTTTAGGAGTTGCGTTAAGAAGTAGTAAACTAGTAATATCTTTTCAAGTGCTAATCAAATTGATCAATGTATATTTGAAATACCTACGATATATTGTTGGAGGCTTGTCTGTTTCTTCTGATCTTGATTTCAAATTGTATATAATGAATCAGGTAGTGCACCTATCTTCTTGAGTTTGAGTAGTAAGAAAAAAGAAGCAATGGCAGAAAGAAAGGTGTTGAACAAATACTACCCCCCGGATTTTGATCCGGCTAAAATCCCAAGGAGACGGATGCCCAAAAATCAACAAATCAAAGTGAGAATGATGCTTCCAATGAGCATTCGATGCAGCACATGTGGAAACTACATATACAAGGGAACAAAATTCAATTCACGCAAAGAAGACGTAATAGGAGAGGTAAGCCATTATGATTTATGATAAACAGTTAAACACACAATGTGATTTGTAACTTATACCTAAATAACACTCACTTCTTTCTTACTTACTATGCAGACATATTTAGGAATTCAAATATTCAGATTCTATTTTAAATGCACAAAATGTTCAGCTGAAATCACCATGAAAACAGACCCACAAAACTCAGATTATGTTGTCGAGTCTGGAGCTGCAAGAAATTTTGAGCCATGGCGTGCAGAAGATGAGGTGGAGTTTTTTATTTATAATTTTGATGTTAATATTTAATATCATGTATTTATAAACCATATGGTTTCTCATTTTTATAAAATTATCTGTATTTTTTTAGGTGGTAGACGAGGAGCAAAGGAAACGAGACGCTGAAGAGATGGGAGATGCGATGAAATCATTGGAGAATAGAACACTTGATTCAAAAAGAGAGATGGATATTCTTTCTGCACTCGATGAAATGAAGTCAATGAAGGTTTTTTTTTTTTTTTGTTTAATAAATTATTGTTTAATCATTTTAAAACTTATTTTGGATTCTGAAAATTGAAATTTTGTGTTTGTTTTGCAGTCACGACACGCGACTGTGAGTGTAGATGCAATGCTTGAAGCCTTGCAGAGATCTGCTCCTGTACACGAAGAGGATGAGGACAAGCTTGAAGAAGCGGATGAAGCTCTAATTAAATCCATTTTCAAGGTTAGTGTGATTTTTAAAATAGCAACATACTTTATTATGTTTTAACTTCTACGATAAATTCTTAGTCAAATTTATAAGACTTTTTATTGAATATAACTCAGGGATCAAACGAGTATGTTCGTAGAATTGATGATGCTGAGCTGGATGATGACGATGACATCACTCTTTCAAACAACAGTGAAACTTCACAAGCTGGTTCTAAGGTATGCTGATAATTGATATGGTCTTTTCATATTGCATAACAAAAGGTTTTTATGGGATTAATGTTATATGACAGATTTTTTTTTAAAACTTTTTTCTTTATGATGCAGAAACAGAAGGTTTCGGATTCCCCAACAGATTACTTAACAAAAACAAGTAGTACTAAAAAAGGTCAGTTTAGTTAAAAGTAACAGTAACAATTACTTTTGAAATAGAAAGTAATTTTTGTTAAGATAATGATTTATATATTATTTTTATTGCAGAAGATGCAAAGGGTTCTGGGAGTTTTGTTTTGAAGTCTGCGACAGTGAAGTTTTCTGTAGTGAAGAAGGAGAAATCACAAGCATATGAAGAAAAGAAGAAAGAAGATGATAAAGCAACAACTACAAGTAATGTGTTACTGTTGTGCCAACAGTATGACAGTGATGAAGAGGAATAATCTTTATGCCAAAAGCATAGACAAACCATCATCATGAATATTGTATTTGTTATAATTCAAAGCTTCTGAGATTTTGATGTTATTTTTATATAAATATGGACAATATTACACAAATGGTCCCTGTGGTTAATGTCATAACAAACGGAATGTCTTATTGGTTCGCTCTAAATGTCAAAACAAAGATATATAAAAGTAGGAAACACATCATATTATGATTATGTGTATTAAAACTCACATTACTCACGTTAGTTATTATGTCAGTGGTTATTGCAATACCTCTTTTAGCCTTTTAGGCTTCTTGAAAGTCAATTAAGATCTTCTATATTAATTAACCTCTTTTATCCCTTTCACATGATTTGGATTAATAACGATAATCATATTAATAACACATTATTAAATGAGAAAGGAGAAATGGAATTTTATGCCTCAGAAGCTTTCATTTGGAGATTTGGATCTAGATTCACCAAGGTTCTTCAAGGATTTGCTTCTATTTTCACCCAATTTCTCTCAAAATCTGATCTCCTCTCTCCCCTCGACATTATAATTTCTCATTTAAACTAAGTTGACATTCCATGTCCTCCCCTCCCCTCTCCCTGCCATCTATTTTAACCTTAAATGATAAAGTTCTTACATATTAACTTCCTATTCTAGTTAAATGAACTTACCTAAGTATCATTCTTTAATGTTCACTTTCCAAGCTTTAAACTTCAAACTTTCATCTAACAATAAATTAAATTGTTTTAAATTAACGGTGCAATGATCTGTGTAATCACAAACATATTGGTCATAATTTCCAAAAGAAAAAAAAAATCAATATAATGAATAAACTATTATTCACAATTGATATTCGTTACGGTAAATATAGTATAATGCTTTAAACTCGGAATTATGAAATACAATATAATGCTTTAAACTCCACACACATAATTCATAGACAAACCCAACGTCTTAATGAATCATAAAAACATCTATATACATGTATACCAAAGGTGGATAATGATTCATAATTGATTTATCCAAATAATAAAAATGATTCAAACATCATATACATGTATACATTAACCATAAGAACAAAAGTTGTGTTATGATTGGGGTTTAGTTATGAAGAGATAGAATAAATTCATATATACTTGATTCTACTACTTTAAATGAACCATATATACTTGATTCTACTACTTTAAATGAACCAAATAAACGATATCGTGAAATGATATATATATATATATATATATATATATATATATATATATATATATATATATATATATATATATAAAGCAAGAAAACATAGAAAAAGGGTTGTGCATGGACAACTTGTTGTACAGCTGCAAGTTTGAAAGAATAAAGTTAGCTGGCACATGGGCCCCATAACCTCAATCAGGCGAATCAAATTCAGCACTTTTAGGCTAATAAGAAGATGCACTGTGTCCTTTTGCAATACTCATCTTGTCTTCTACGACGGTAAACAAACGTGTTTGAATGGTTCCAACCTCTTAATGATTAACAAAATGTGAGAAGGCTTAACCTTTCAAAGGCATTTCCAAGGCTTCTGAAAGGTAATCTCATAAAGTCTTAATGGAACCATTAAGAGGGATAAGTGTTTCAGCCTAAAGAGGTGTCTTGTGGGCGAAGGATGCATATCTTGAAAGAATAATAATTGAATTATTTGGATAGTAATACAAATGGGTGGTGTTGTGGTGTGACTTTAGGCATCAAATAAAAAGAATGATATAATATTGCAACTTTAGGAGATTCAGATACATGAGAAAGAAAAAAAATGGTTAATAAATAACAATTTATAAACTTAATAGAATCTTGCAGACCTCGATTGTTATGTTATCTTCTGCGTCGGCTATCACCTTCACTTGTATCAGAATCTCTATCGCCAGATTGTTTATCGTTTAATCTACTATTTTCCACCTTATAATCACGATTAGATCGTGAAGATTCTCTTCTTTCCTGCAAATTAAGGGAAGAAATTAAATAAATAAATAAACAAACATTTTTTGTCCATCAGTAATCATGACAAATATTTGTAACATGGGAAGAGTTCCTCCATTTGTCATTCAGTCACTTTTTTGTCCATAAATAATCATTAACTTATCCATAACATCAATAAGATTCCTCTTTTTTGTAATCTACTAAAGAGATGTTGCTTATTGCTTTGGTGTTTCTTTTTTTACTTAGATCTTTTTATTTTATTTGCCATTAAGGGTAGATAATGATATTTGTCTGGAAAAAGTCTTGTATACATAAATTATGTTTCTTTATTATACTTTTTCAGAATGAATAAACCGTTGACAAAATGACCATTTGATCCTTCATTTAAAATTAATACAAAAGCAAGTGTTCATAAATCTCAGTGATCATGATTAACAAGACAAAATGACTATTTTACCCATCCTTTATAAATAATTCAGCAAGCTTGCATTAGGGCCTTACAGTGGGAAAGAGCAAGTCATCAGCTTCAAGCATGTGAAGTACGTGTCCCATTTTAGGCCTTTTTTGTGCATCCGGATCTACACACCGCAGAGCCACCAAAAGTATACGTTTTAACGCTTTTGAAGATGGCATCTCGGTCAACTTCGGGTCAACCACCTCATCAGATTTACGGTTTCCCACCATTGTCTTCAACCACTCCACTAAATTCACCTGTAATCATTCAAATTGTTAAGGAGAAAGAAAAAAAAAAAGGAACAAATTTTAAACCAACAAGTTACTTGATGTAAGGGCACCAACCATTTACATATTTTCCCTACCAACTACTCTCAACTTAAAAATAGATGGATATTGTGAAAATCGTTTGTCGCAATGTAAGGGTAAAATGGTCATTTAATTTCATTCAGACGGTTTACTAACCTCTCCTTGTGGTCGACCATAATCAACAGGATTTCTCCCAGTGATTAACTCCATAATAAGTATTCCAAAGCTATACACATCACTCTTTTCTGTCAACATACCCGTGCAAGCATACTCTGGTGCAACATACCTAAACAGAAAAAAAAACAAACTCATACTATTCAATTTCAAGAATCAAGATTCATATCCTAAAAACTTTTCAACAGCAAATAAAAAATTTACCCAAAAGTTCCCATCACACGAGTTGTCACGTAACTTGTATCTGAACCCAAAAGCTTTGCAAGGCCAAAGTCGGAAACTTTAGGGTTCCATTGACGATCAAGTAATATATTGCTGGATTTGATGTCCCTATGAACTACCTTTGGTTCAAGCCCTTCGTGAAGATATGCCAAACTGTATAAAAAAACAAAAAGTTGGATTTTCAAGAAATTTTATGCTAATAAATTTGGTTATAAGTTATAACATACCCCTTAGCAGTTCCTTGAACAACATTCATACGAACAGTCCATGTTAAAGGGCTGACATCTCCAACATCCCCATGAAGCCACTGGTCCAGATTCCCGTTATCTACATACTCATAGACTAGCATCCTGGAAAAAAGATAATTTGATGATGATAGATTCTTGATGAAGATAAATAGCAACTGAGATGTATATGATTGATTACCTGTAGGCTCCTTCTACACAATATCCTAACAAGCGAACAAGATTCTTGTGTCTGACACGCCCAATTGCTTCTACCTCTACTTTGAACTCCCTTTCAGCTTGACCCCTGGTATTTCATCATTCAAATGGTGATCAACCAACAGATGGAACAATCCATGATTAGTCCGTTCACCAAGCCTCCCAGAACCCAAATGCAACAAATTTGGGTTATAAGATAAGACAAGGGTTGAAATTTAACTAAAATTTTGTATGGGTAGAAGAAACATGGATTTGAATAACTCAAATCGAAATATTATGAATTATTAAGACTCCGTTGTTCTATGATTCGATTCAAGTCTTGATTTTGATAACAAATTTAACAACTTTTTACATGGATACGGCAAATTGAGTCGAGTAACATCAATTCGCACAAAACTCTAACATCACAAATTGTGAGTATTGATGAAAATAAGAATTAGGTTAAGGATAACTTGCAAAAAGTTTTTCTTTGGCGTTATAGTTGATTGAAGTATTCAACATTTGAATTTAGAAATACGAGCGTAATTTACCTGTTATTCAATAAGTTCTTCACTGCCACGCGAGTATTATCCCCTAAAATACCGCTATACACTATACCATAGCCTCCTTCACCGATCACATTCTCATCTGCCAATCCATTTGTGGCCGCCTCCAGCTCCCGGAGCGTATACCACCGCCCCCATCCTAAATGCGACACCTGCGGCAACGACGAACCGCCATTACCACCACCATACGACGCCGTGTCGTTACTCGTAGCCCTACTCTCACCGCTCGATTGCCGGTCGGAGAAAACGACACGGTGTTCCGACTTCCCTATATCGATTTGGATCTCCGGCACTGACATACGGTGCTCCACCGCAGCAGACGATTCGTGAGGGACGATCTCTTGTATTTCTTTCGATACTGCAGGGGTTAGGGTTTTTTCATTTTTCTTAGTCGAGTGAGAGTGTCGACGTCGAGAGGTGATGCATACGGAGATGAGGAAAAGTACGAGGACTATGATAACTCCGACGAAGATCCCGACGACAACCCATAGCCGGAGACCGAATATAGAGGTAGGTTTTGAGAGCTCGCTGTTCATGAATGCTTTGTCGTATATCGACATTGTGGTCTTAGAGAGAGGGAAATTAGGGAGAGAAGCTGAGGAACATGTGTAAGCGAGCTGGACTCCTCTGAGTATTAGTTTAGCCGGGAAAGGAGTAGTGTAACCGGCGATGGTTATGAAGTTTTTGGCGAGGGTGTGTATGAGAGAGAGAGAAAAGGAAGGAGGAGAGAGAAAGTCTACTCTTAAATTAGTAAGCTGTGCTGGTTTCCAATACTTGTCCAGGTAAGGACTTAACGTTTGGTCAGATTACAAAAAAACTAATAGGGTCAGGCTATTAACGAATCGAACGAATATGAACGGGAGCTTGTTCATTTTTGTTCATTTACATTAGTCGAACAAATGAACGAACACGAACGGATAAACGAACGAGTTTTCTTGTTCATGTTCGTTCGTTTAACAAATTACATTGTTCATGTTCGTTCGTTTATGTTCGTGAACAAGTTAAACGAACATAAACAAACGAACGTAAACGAACAAAGATAAAAAAACATAATTGAACATATATGAACATAAATGAACATATAATATAGTAATGTAATCAAACACGATTAAGCATATATGAATATAAAATGAATTTATATGAACAAACATAAACGAACTTAAATGAACAACATAAACGAATGTTCACAAACATAATTGAACGAACGAGATCATTGTTCATGTTCGTTCATTTAACTAAACGAACGATAATTTATGTTCGTGTTCGTTCATTTATTAAATAAACGAACATAAACGAACTTCCCGCCAAACGGTTCATGAACTGTTCGATGAACGTTCAGTTCGTTTACAGCCCTAAATGGGGTGTTTGATACTGAGAGTTTGATAACTGAGTTAGAGGTCTGACTGAGAGTTTGAAGCTCTGACTGAATCTGCTTCTTACTGGAATTATATGTTTGATTACGCCTCTGACTAAGTGTGTTAAATACTGAATATGACTATTTTACCCTTTTGTTTTGTTTTGCGCTTATATAACCAATAAAATCATATTGAATCATACTTGCATTACATAACTCCAAGTTTTCAATCCAATTGTATGGAGCTTCATAGCTCTGTTCCACACGTAAATAAATAAAATACATTACGCCAATCTAGTCCAAACTCTAATAAAAGTGCATATATAACCAATGAATTTATTGAATTTACATGACAAGAACAATCAACACATGTACAAATATAACAATCACAAAATACCATTAGCAGTTCTAGCAGCCAACCCAAAATCAACAAACTTCATCAAACCATTAGCCGAAAAAATTGAGCGGCTTCATACACGACCTTCAATGTCATGACAATATTTAAGAACAACATCAATTCCTTCATTTTTTTTGTTCTGAAAACAAACCATCTTCCTACATCTGATCAAGCAACCTCCCACCAGAGCAAACCATCTTGTATCGAAATTTTGGCAGAGGCAAGACATATGAGCATCATAAACAAATATGCTATAACGATTGAAATTAAAAAAACCTAAAAAATCCTTTATACAGTTCAAGTAGCCTTTTGATGTTCGATTCATATTAGATAATGAAGGGTTATCAAGGGTATACAGTTAATTATTTCAATTAACAAATCATGTGATATACCCACCATCTGATTGCTAACAACTATGAGAGTGACTATCAAAACTCAGCCTTGTTCTCGTTTTTTTTTTCTCCAGACCTGCAATTTAGATTCAAGGGAAAAGGGAGATGTTTCAATTCTTTGTTCCATAACACCTAGAATTCGATTTCAATATGACATTTTGTCAAACACATTTTCTGCAAGATAAGATAAACTCTACAAATATAAATCAAAATATTCTAATAACACTAACCTTGGAATGTAACATAATCTGAACACCTTTAACACAACTCTTGTATGAAGTGGAACACGGTCGGAGCTCAGGGAGGCGACATTGGACGGGGACGACGACGACACCGGGGGGAGGAGGAAGAAGCAGCGCATATGTCTAAGGTAAGATTTGCGTTTGTAGATGTCGCATATGTCGGAGGTGGGCAAAGGAGAAGGACCGCAAACAAGAAGAAGGAGAAGCCGAGAAGGGCAAATAAGGGCAAGGAAGGTTTTTTCCTTCAGTCAGCGACATTTTTTGGGGGACCGAATCAGCGATTTCAGGACCGAGCAAGAGGTACTTTAGGACGGTATCAAACACCTGATTTGGACTGGGTCAGAATTTACCTCTTACGGGCTCAGTAAAAGGTATATCAAACAAGGCCTAAAAATGACTCATCTCTATTCTAATAAATGAATAATTTTAATCTTTTTTTTGCCAAGTGTCACTATAATACAACCCATCATTAATATTATGTCATGTGTCATATAGATATATTAGGCAACTCATTTCAAAATTCAAATTTATATTTTCTAATTATATGTTAAATTTGAAGTTATAATAACTTTAAAATTTTGATATATCTCTTAATTATCAATTTATTTAAAATGATTGATTAATAATTATAAATTTTTATTATGAAAGTTTAATTAATTTTATAACCCGTGGTTCCCACGGGTTATAAACTAGTAATTTATAAATTTCAAAAAATTACCATTTAGTTCGGTCCGTCCTACATGTTCCAGATTGATAGATATTGTTTTGACCGAATAAAGTTGTCTAATAAGATTGTTACATTATTATAATCATATGATTTCATAGAAGTAAATTGATTTCGATTATTTTAAAATTGTTATCGGGTAAAATCAAGTATGATCAAGATTGTTATTATTATTATTATTATTATTATTATTATTTTAAAATATAATATTTTTTCTTATAATAACTAAGTGAATCGAATATGAACCCTAGAAAATTATTTTTTAATTGTTTTTTTGTTAAATGATGTATTTTTTTTAATTTTTAAACTATTTAGTGTTAATGGAAGGATTAACTAATGGATGAAAATGTATTTTTATGTTTTAAATTGTTTTTCTTAGGATTTTACGTTCACGATCTTACAATACGGAATACGATCATACATTTTCAGACTGATTAGTTATATTATCATATACAAAAGGCTTTTGACATAACGATATCAAGAATTGGAGGATAGATGCCCTTAACCAAATGTTGATGAGTCAAGTTTTGTTTTAGACGAACTATGTTGATTTAGAAGTAGAGTAATATGCACGTGTATAAACCATTATAAAAAAAGTTATAGTGATCATATACTTATGAATGCACCGACAATATTACTTCTCACATACCATCTTATCCATCTTATTCATGCATTATTCAAACATATTAACCAACCCAAACTTCATTTATAAAACATTAAAGATATGTCATTATTTCAGATACTGTTGTTTGAGTGTAAAAACATGTTATTATAACAATGATTAGCCACAAATAATGCATGCAACCAACCCTTATTTGGATGATTATTGATTAACACTGAAAAACCTTCTATCGAGAAGGAATCAATTGATATTGTCTCCCCTTTATTTTTTTATAAATTTAACCGTGTTTAGCTAGTTTTGAAATATAACTGTAAGTTAAAAAACTTTTGTTCCCATGTTTTTATAAATTTATAATAAGACCAAATAAATTCTTACTTTTTCTTTTATATCTCTACCGGGCCTTATTTATTTGGGCCTCCTATTTTGCATTTTCTACATCTCTATTGGGCTATATATAGTGGTCCAGTGGCCTTTCACACATAATAAGTTAATTCACCATATATATATATATATATATATATATATATATATATATATATATATATATATATATATATATATATATATATATATATATATTACACACACACACAAATGAGTTATGCACCTAGGGGTGTTATTCGGTCGTTTTTTTTTTGTTTTCGGTTTAATCGGGTCGGCTTTTTGGTTTATTTACATCTTAAAAGTAACCATAACCAAACCAGATAATGTTTGGTTTAATCAATTCGGTTATCGTTTATTCGGTTTGGTTTACCGGTTAAACCGAATAAAATATCGCATGTAAAAATAAATATTAAACTAATAGAAAGAAAAACTTACTAAACTTTTACCAAATAAAAAAAATACATTAAAAGCTTCCGGACATTGACCTTAGCAGTTTTACTACTAAGGACACCCCCCCTAAATCCCAGAATACACTGGCGAGTGTCATTTTTAGTAAAATTGTCCAAAATATGGAAGTGCATTTCAACATGACGGCTCGACAAAAAGCAGTTTTACAGTATTTACCTGCACCACATGCTCAAGATTTTCTTATAGATATCCTATAGATGGGCTTGACCAACATATGTTTATTGTGGAGTATCTACCATCTTCAAATATCGACTCATGATTCTAATATTCTCAGCTGACGAGATATGTCTGGTGTGCCGCAAGGCACGTTTGGACTCTTTTGGAAAGCATGCAGTTCATTGCAAAGAACTTCCGAGTTTCAAATACAGGCACGATATGGTTAAGGATGTTTTGGTCGACATATTTAAGCGTGCCGGAGTTTCTGCCAAGAAAGAGGCTCTTGTGAATTTCTTGACTGACCCGACAGAAGGAAGGTCAATCCTTAGACCGACTGACGTTTTGATTTTTGGATGGGTTGGAGGGAAACACGCATGTGTAGACCTCACAGGGTATCCCCTCTCGTAGGCTTGAGGGCCGAGGGTTTCACGGTGGGACAGGCTGCATTAAAAGCTGCTACATGCAAGGTCACCAAACATGAGAAATCGTGCATGGAAAATGTCACACCCCCGAACCAGATGGCGGAAACGTCCGGGGGCTCGTGTGACTAACAATTGAATAATCATCACAATGAATATACATGAATCATAACACGATCATCACCAACATTACATAATACAACTAGCATTGTTTACATCAAGTACATTGTTAAAATACATAAGTTCAAATTGTTAAAGGTACGATAAGTGTTGTTACATAAAACAAAACCATACACACTTGCAAATCTTCCAGCTTAACGATTACCTGAGAATATAAGTTATTTTGAAAACGGTCAACATATATAATGTTGGTGAGTTCATAAGTATGTTTGAGTAAAAGTCTTTGTATCTTTCATAAAAACCCAGAAAATCCGATATTTTCTGTAAAATGTTGTGAAAATCAAGTATAAATGCATGTGTAAATTTCATAGTTATAACTTATAAGAGTGTAGTTTAGATTCATTGTATTGTGAGTAAATGATAAATGTATATGAATAATTTCCCCAGAAAATCCGATATTTTCTGTTTTATATCAATGTCTAGATTTTTGTATTGTTAAATA